CCAAAGTCCCCATCCCCCTCCCCAAGAGGGGACCCAGGCACCCAGGACCCCCAATTCTCCCATCCCCCACTCATAATGGGGAGGAAACCCAAGCGTCTGTGTCCCCACCCCCCCCAAAATCAAGGAGGGGACCCAGGCTCCCGGGCACCTACCGAGTGGGTGGGGGCCGAACAGGGCGAGCAGGCAGAGCAGGACCCCGAGGGTCCCGGGGGCACCCATGGGTGCTGGGTCAGGAAGGACTGGGAGCACTGGGAGCACTGGGAGCACTGGTTTTTAAGGTTGGGTGGGTGGGGATCCTCCCACCCGCGATTTTTTAATCCAGTTCGGGTGTGGCCACCCACGCAGGGTGGGGACCCACGCGGCCGGGGGACGGAGCTCCTCACCCCCCCATCCCCCCCCACCCGCCCATGGCACCCAGGCATCCGTGGGCCAGAACCCTTCCCAAGACCCCCCCAGGACCGTACTGGTCCCTGTGGGGCCATACTGGTGTCTACAGGGCTCATACTTGTCCCTGTGGGGCCATACTGGCGTCTACAGGGCTCTGTACTGATATTCTTAGGGCTCATACTGGTCTCTTTCAGGCCATACTGGTCTCTTTAGGGTTCATACCGGTCCCTTTGAGGCCATACTGGTCCCTGTGGGGCCAAACTGGTGTCTACAGGGCTCCATACTGGTCCCGTTGGGGCTATACTGGTGTCTACAGGGCTCGTACTGGTATCTTTAGAGCTCATACTGTATTCTTAGGGCTCATACTGGTCTCTTTTGGGCCATACTGGTCTCTTTAGGGCTCATACTGGTCCCTCTGGTGCCATACTGGTTCCTGTGGGGCCATACTAGTATTCTTAGGGCTCATGCTGGTCCCTGTGGGGCCGTACTGGTGTCTACAGGGCTCGTACTGATCCCTTTGGGGCCATACTGGTGTCTACAGGGCTCATACTGGTATCTTTAGGCCTCATACTGGTATTCTTAGGGCTCATACTGGTCCCTTTGGGGCCATACTGGTGTCTACAGGGCTCATACTGGTCCCTGTGGGGCCATACTGGTCCCTTTGGCGCCATACTGGTCCCTGTGGGGCCATACTGGTGTCTATAGGGCTCATACTCATATTCTTAGGGTTCATACTGGTCCCTGTGGGGCCATACTGGTGCCTACAGGGCTCATACTGGTCCCTGTGGGGCCATACTGGTCTCTTTAGGGCTAATACTGGTGTCTACAGGGCTCATACTGTTCCCTGTGGGGCCATACTGGTGTCTACAGGGCTCATACTGGTCCCTATGGGGCCATACTGGTGTCTATAGGGCTCATACTGGTCCCTGTGGGGCATACTGGTCCCCATCCCATCCCCAGTGTCCCCATCCCCCCTCCTCCCGGGTGTCCCCATTCCGTCGCCCACGTCCCCGTCCCCAAGCGTGGGCATGGACCAGTCCCACCAGTTCAACCAGTACCGAGACATGCAGGGACGCGCTGGGCCATGGCGTGGGCGTGTGGCCAGGTGTGGGGACACGTGTGGGCGTGGGGACATGGGTGGGGACACGGGTGGGCATGGGGACACAGGGACATGGGTGGGTGTGGGGACATGGGTGGGCATGGGGACACGGGTGGGGACACGTGTGGTGATGGGGAGGCCTGGAGTGCAAGCCTAACAAGAAGGCAGCAGTGATCAACGGCCGTGCAGAACAGACTAATTGTGCCCAAAACCAAACCCGAGTGCTGTGTGTTTGTTGGACAGGAACAGCAGTTGATGTTTCTGCATGGCTCGGAGCGTGGGGGGGAACAGCAGATAGCAGAGGAGTTATGGCTCTGGTTAGGCAGCAGCCCTCGGGCCGAGGCCGGGAGTTTGGG